TACCTCTTCGAACCGTCCTCGAGCAAATCCTATGGGGCATTATTCATTGTATGTACGGCAGGCCAGCCCTGAGCGACAATTCCAACGCCTTCAAATTACAAGCGTGTAATACACAAACTCCGCCAGCAGTGGATAAGATTTTGCTTTATTTAGTAAACGCCGCCTGGGAGAGTTTTGCGCGTTTTTCTGTACCTTCGCTGATGCGGCCAACCACTTTACATATGATAGAAAAAAGTGTAATAAAGTCTGGAGGCGGAGAGTACGCGCGCGCGCGCGAGATGCACAAGTGTGTGCGGAAGCATACGTCGGGAGGCAAACGACTCCCTCGACGCTAGTCGTCAGCATGGGGCGGTTTCGAGTTGCGAGCCTTGGATGCGCCACCCCCGAGTCACACACAAACCGCAAGAGTCGGCGCTCGCATTCTCTAAACCCAACGTGCACCGGAAAGCGTTTAGACTACTTTTAACATTAGCGTTTAACCTCTTTCAACGACGCCTCCACCTTTACACACCTCGTGCTCTAGATTTCACGAGTTGAATCGTGAAACCTGAACATCACAAAAAAGCCGCTATAATTTCACTATAAATCTCAAAATAATTCCGCGTGTTTCATCCACTCTCGACATCCAGCACTTCAATTTTACGGGCGTGTAACAAAACGAAAACATCCACGCAGGATGATAGAAGCACCTTATGTGCTATGTTCCCGTGGCACACGAAGGGCGAGTTGGGATTTTTACACTTACTTAAAAGTTACGACTCAAAAACACGTGTCAAAACGATAAACTCTACGATTTCCGAATGAAATAAAAAAGTTGACTTACGATGCGTAATTTCCTTTATTAAAACGCATAAACTATCGGTCTTCAGCACTCACCTGCAACAATAAAAACAAAACATTAGTACAATACAAGATATTTATTATTGGTGTGCGTATATTTACGACTTTCAATTTTAATTCGGTGAAACAAAAACAATAAATACCAACGGTGCTGCATCGCAGTCATTTTTCGATAATAAACGATAATAACAAAAACCAAATTACATACCGAACGAACCGCGTGCACCGACAACTAGCAAACACATTTAAATTGGAATTTATGATACCAGCAGATATAAATTCATATGTGTATAATAAACTTATTGTGCGCGGCGGTGGCGGCAGTATGGCGGTGGTGGGTTCCAACTCGTTTAACATTTTCGTTTCGCCGGACAGTTTTTAAAAGCAGCATTCGCTTTTGTATCTCCTGCATTACACGCTTTTCCCATTTCAATCCACAATAGACCAGCGTACGAGCGAGGACCACAGCACCAGCAAAGCGGAACCAGGCCGGGGCCAAAGTAATAGCGCCGCAGCACCCCTTTTAGCACCGAATTTTCACTCTCTAATAGCGAGAAACCATATACGAAGCCCGCGTAGACATTATACTCGTACAGGTAGAGAGAAGCATTGGCGCCGCATTCAAATGCTCATCGTGATGGCAACCCACAAGCGCCAAGAGTATGTAAGCCCACCCGTCGTCATTCGAAGCAAATATGAGAAGAGAAGCGAAGCGTTCGTAAATCGCGGCATTTTCGTACGATTCGGGAATATCGATATGACGGCACCGGATATGTGTATGAATGAACACGCAAAGCCTACTTTAAGGCATTCAGATTTTTATGTACTGCATACATTTGCAAAACTTCGATTTCGCTCCACGTTGAGTGCCGCTGAGAGGATATGTCTACATACGCATGTAAGCGTGTAACGGGGCACAAAAGGAAGAAAAAACTTTAAACATCGTTCAAATGTCATTATTTATGGCTGTTGTAAATTTTGTGCACGACGTAAGAAAGAATGCTTTATAGCGCGTTTGAAATTGGAAATTCAGGAAAAGATCATCTTCTCGAAGGAAATACTTTATACGAAAATTATTCTAAATATATACGCCTTAGGTGACAATAATTTCATACAAAACAAAAGTATGCAGCTCCCTCTAACGGCAGTTCAATACATTATACTTTGTAAAAACAAAACTCATTAATATTTCACATCAAAATTACGTTCCAACGATGGAAGATCTCAATATGAATACATTCCTGCGATGTTTGCGCCTTGCAAAAAAAAGCCGAAAGACTAGCAGTGAGGGTGCATGCATAAATAATAAATACCGGAAGCATCAAATATTCATATGCGTTGCATCGCGGATGCTTCAAGGATGGATGGCCGGGCATATCGAATAACACTTTAACCTCCTCCTCCTTCCACTAGGAGATATATGTTGAAAATATTCACAACTGACAAACAGTTATACCTCTACGCGTCTAAGACAAGACAGTGTGCGGCGTGAGGGGATGGCAACGACGACACATGAGAATGCGATAAGAAAGTGTAAATTGTGTTCAAAACAAACACAATTATTAAATTAAAAATTAAATTAAAATTCGATTTATAAAATTCTTATTTTTTAATTGTAAAAGATCTCGTAAACTATAAGCGATAGAGATAGGCGTATTAAAAATTATTAATTTACGGGAAATTATTTATAAGACAGAATATTAAAATACTGCATGCTGTTCTCTCCGTCAAGCAAACAAGTTCGCGACAATTCATGATAAGACTACCTGCTGCCCGAACGCGTAAGCCCGGCGCGTCGATGTCACGTGACTTTGTGCGCGAATTGCAATTGGCACGATACCTGCGATCTAAACTAAACTAGAATATGCTGCATGCATCAAGTTGATGCGACGTGAGAAGACGGCGCGCGGGGCACATGCGATAAAAAAGTTGTTTATATACAAACGCAGGTAACAGCATTGTGTTCAAAACCAAACACAATTCTCGTGCCGAATGCCCACGTTTGTCGATAAATAAGATAAGAATAAGCCGTATAACTCGATTTTATTATTTTTAGTGCATCCTAGTGTCATCTATGAATGCTACAGATAGTAGTCCCGGAATTTAGATTAATAAAATTAATAAAACAATAAAATTCAAATCATGTAATTATAATTTTTTATGGCTAGAGATTGACCTATTTTACATCAAATATTTAAGTGATATTTAATTCAAAAATGTTTTGTTTCTATTCTATTTTTGGTTTATATTTTATCCAACTATTTATTGCAATTTTCCGAAAAAGCCGTGAATTCTACAGACAATTTTTACTAAAATAAAAGGCTCAGAAAAACGTTTTGTTGCAACTTCAGTAAAAAAAATTATAAAATTTCAACTTTATGTATTCTGCTGGAAAGTATTTTCACATTTGATCAAATTCCGGGAAAACTATAAGTCTAACAGTAAAATTTTACTAACATAAAATGCTCAGACAAACCTATTATAGCAACTTCCAAAATAAAAAGTTTAAATTTCCAAATTTAATTTTCCTGTGGAAAATGTGAGATCACATTTTATCAAATTGCGGGAAAACTATAAGTCCAAAAGTAGAATTTTACTAAAATAAAACGCTCAGGAAGACTTTAAATTTTCATATATAATTTTTCTGTGGAACTTTGGTCAAATTTGCTCACACTTGGTCCAATTATGGGAAAACTATACGTCCTAGAAAAATATTTTACTAAGATAAAATGTTCAGAAAGATGTCTTATTGTATCTCCGCCAAATAAAACTTCAAATTTCCATTCTTAATTTTCCGCCAGAAAGAACTCTTTGTCGTTAAGACATATTGCAGCACAACAAAAAAATGAAGGACTACATTTGACGAATAATGAAATTATTTCACTTACCAGATTATCAAACAAGGTAAATCAACCACAAGTTGATAGACACTGAAATAAAGAAGAAACAAAACATAAGTTACACCATTTTGTGCCATGTTGAAATGTATTTCAGTTCCGTCGGAACTCAGTTTTGACCTTAAAATTTCTGTTATTTGCAATAATTATTAGAACAACAATATTTACCAGGTAGCACATTAGTCCAGTCCATGATCCTCTGCTGATGACAAAAATGCTTAATTCAACTCAATTAATTATTTGCGTTAACAAATTATCACCGGCCGGCGCCCGACGACAACGGACTCACAAACACAAATCAAATAAGCTCGCAAAATTTAGAATTACAAAGATTACACACGCGATAAATAACTAGTAGAAGTCCAAACACGTCTATTAACACTAATTATCACCAGTGATCAACGAAATATAACACGATTTACCGAACTTGTACCAAATAATAACCTCAGACGAAAGTGTGAAACGTGTGCTCGCCGTTATCGCACCGGTGGAACAAAACAAAAATTCACTGGCAGGAATATTTTCAGCAAAACATGCATCGTCACGCCCTCTGAGAGTACTTTACGGTACCATAATAAAATACAAAGTGTTACAAACAGTGACGCGTGCATATGTGTCAGTGAGTGGTCACTCACTGCCATAGGAGACGCGCGTGTTGATGTGAGCAAAAGGTTCATGCATCACCCTGTCTAAACGAGTAGCATTTTTGCTCATAGTTCCAGAACTTAAACATAGATGCGCGATGTTCAAATTTAAAACAGCTTTCAACAGATTTTACAAGTTTGGTGAGAATCGATGCAATTGTTTGTCTATTCACAATTGAATAAACATTTTATATATATAATACAAGGAAAAAATACTAAACTGACGGCCATGTTAAAATTTGCAATACTCACCTTGAAACACAGCTGCAAAACTGCAAAAAGTAGTAATCAGGAACTAAACAATCCACACTCGATTGATCACTAACCAGACACCATAAACAACAAGTAAAACTAAACACAGTTAATATTTAAACAAATAAACCGTAATTACGTAATAAAACAATTAAAAAATAAGAAAAATCACGAGCAACACGCGTTAACAACCGACGCTGAACTAACATCAGTTACCAACTGCTAAAACAAATATATCCCTAAATCTAGTTACAAACAAATCCCCTACCTCCCTAAGTTGGCATTACTAACGTCACAATATTCAAATATTCAAAATAAAAACATTGTTTACAAACAATTTTACAATGAAACAATAAACCACACAACATTTTATTGACTGTCATATATATTTCCTCTGCTGCACCACTCACGTGCAACCATCTTAAATAGAATGACATTAGTGTGGTGATATGTTTCTGACAAAATATATTGTTACACAAATGCCGCAACTCTTGTCGCTTCGTCAATTTTGTCACAATAATCTTACTCAACTAGTGTAATGTTTATTCTTGTTTACAATTAATGATTATGCAAAAAGGTCCTCGCGTTATTTAGTTTATCATTTTTGTTCGATTACTCTATGTGTTCATTATTCTCGTGTCTTAGATTAAGATTAATAACAATATAATGCTACAAACGTTATTAAATACATTTTAGTCACAAATAAAAATTCAAAAACAAGAATCAATGACGTCACATCATCAGTCTACGTTTTTAAAAAGGAACCAAGACTTAAATTTGATGTTGATACTTGATACTGATATGAAAGGCTTGCAGGAGTTTCAGATTTGAGATTAAGATTAAGATCCGGGTTCGTTTGGCTCCAGTGGAAGAAGGGAGGAAGAAATCTTAAACGAAAATGAAGCGTTGCTCGGAGGTGGCTTGGCACGTCTTGGCGCTGCAGGTCTCTTGCGGGTTGTTATTAGTTGGAGTTGACAGTTTCGGGGGCGCACGCACCCACTTGCCGTGGCAGTGCGGTGATGACATCGACGACCAGCGTGTGAAGAGGCCGACGACGCCGTGGCCCTGACATCGGTAGCCGAGGTTTTTTCGTAGGGCTTCAGCTTCGCACAAAACGCACACGGTTTCACCTAAAAATTAAAGAGAAATTGATTATTTTGAAAAGTTGAGGGTTGTAATGACAGTTTAATGTAGGCAACCAGTCGTACAGGGTTTAAATTAAGAAATTTAAGAAATAAAAGATTTTGAAGTTTAGAAGAGGTTTAAGGGTTGTTTTAAGGGTAGTTTTAGGGTTTTTATGAGTGGAAATGATAGATTAACTATTCTTCTGTAATATGCAGGTTCAAAAACTTAATTATGTTGTATAGTATAAAAGATATAACAATTTTTGTGACGCTTGTTTTGAAATAATCTAAAAAAAGTTGTAAAGGTTTAAGAGGCAATTAAGGGATGAAGCAGTCATCTTTTTAGGGTTTTTAAACATGGAAATGGAAGAATAACTCTTCTATTTTCTTATAAAGTTTAAAAAATTAAAATATTTTGAGTACTTTTCAAGATATACTCATTTTTCCAAAGCATGTTTTAAAAACACTTACATAATCAAAAACATTAACTTTAACAATAATTTTTCCCACTTTCCCCACACAATAAAATAATAAAATATACCTCAACCAAAACACAATTTACTACTTAATTATACAAAGCAAGCAGAATTAAAATCGCATGAATATTTCCCACGAAAAACTCCAAATTTAACCTGCAATTTCCATGCAACTACTTAAAAACTCGCACATATGCCCCGAAAAGCACTCCTGCAACAATTGCAACCCGTTAAATTCATTGCGCTGCAAGCGCATTTCACTCGTTAGCGTACGCTGGAAAAACTTCGCGAGCATCCAGCATCCAACCGCCCGAACATCTCGTATTATTATGCATTATTATGCAGATGAGGTGCGCGCATCAAACTATAACGAGGCGCGCGCCAAGCGTGAAATAAATGAACCGAAAAATAAAAATTCAATGAAAATCAAAATAAAACGCAGCAAAAAAACATTCGCCAACGCCAACACGAAGAAATCAAGTCGCATTCGTGTTTTATTATGCAAAACTTAAAGTTACGCGAGTGTCACAGCGGAATACAAGAAACAGGAACAAGAAAACGTCGCGCAACGCGTGGAAAAGTTACAAAAGTGGTGCTTAAGGGATGTAAAACGTAATGGGAAATTATAAAACTTGCGGCGGATCGCCTCCAATCATCTTGCATTTTATTTCTTTTCAGTTTTTCGACGATTTTAAGTCAGAAAACGTCGCAAAATGCATAAAATATTAATATTAATTTAGTAATGGATTAAAATATTCGCGTAAAGTTTTGTTACACTTTGAATTCTTTTAAAGACAAAAAGGAGAAAAGAAAATGTGCTTGGAGATATGACAAAGACGATTTTCTCGGCGCTGCGCGTATGATATTCGCTTGAGCGTCGAGAAAATTGTGCAATTTGTCTTTGCGATTCACGCCGGTAGACAAATTGCTGCTTTGAAGTCTGAGCGGTCTGGGCAGGAAAAGAAAGCGCCAAGAAAACACTATTATGTGCTTCTGCAGCGAAGTGGAAGTAGTGGAAGAGGAGGAAAAGTTTTGTTTTGTGCCGGGATGCACTTGTTTAACTTTGGATGATTAGTCGCGCAGTAATTAGAGTGGAATTACACTTTGATCGCGGGTTAAACACGGAATGATTAATTTTTTCGACGGAGAGGGTAGGTATTATGATAGGTTGTTTAATTGGCTTTATAAATACATAAAAATTGTGAGGTTAAGTTGAATAGTTTTGTAGTTAGAGGTGATTTTGTGAAATGTTGCATAAAATTATTATATTTTACTAAAATTGTTATAACTCAGTAAATATAATGTTTACAACTATGATATAAACTTTACTTCAATCTATGATAAATTGTCTTTCTATTGAGATATTGTTGATTATCCTGTGATGATTATGTCCTGAGTTATAAGGACCTAAAGTCATCAAAGCATATGCTTTATAAGTGTAACTTAATCATTTATGAAAGTGCACTTTAACTTGGAATAAAAAGTAAACTATAAGTCACAAACTTCATAAATGTTATCATTCTGATAGACATTTTAATAATCTTTAAGAATATGTTAAAATAATGTTTATAGCTCATAAACTTCCCGAGTTATCACTGATTTTGTCAAATATTACATTAAATTTCCTCAAATATGCATTTTTTACAACAACTCATATAACTCAATAAATAAACAATTTATACATTTTTTGTTAATATTAGTATATTCAGTATTAAATTCTCTTTCTAATGATGTATTATTAAGTATCCTGTGATATATATACCATGAGTTATAACGACCTAAACTGAACAAGAAAAGTAGACAAAAATTTTTATTAAAAAAATTTAGAAATCGTATTTTAACCTCAAATAAAAACCAAAATAACATATTTAAATTATTACAATAATATGATTTTAATTGATATTTTAATTATCTTTGAAAATAACTAAAAATAATCTTTCTAGCTCCAATACTTCCGGAGTTATAACCAATTTAGTAAAATCTCACCTTAAATATGCAATAAATCACAAAAACTCTTATAACTCACCGAATTAAAAGTTTAAATAATTATTATATACGTCAATAAACTTTCAAATAAATTCCCCTTCCAATGACATATCACTCAATATCCTACGACAATTACGCCCTAAGTTATAACGACCTAAACTCACAAAACGACAAAAACTTCCTCGCTACGTATTTTTATATCTGAATTCTAATTTGTTATCCTGTTAGCCACTTGCTGCTCGGCTTCGCGCTCGGCTCGTATTAATTCTCGAATAAATTTTCACGAAAATTAACAAAACATCCTGCACCGCATGCATATGCATCTCACAGGATTCGCTGCAATTGCGCCGCCGCCGCTCCAGTTCCATCCGAGAGGAAAACCGGATAACAGGATAACAACTCGCTCGGCCGCGCTGAGTAATCTATTCGTACGGCATGACAAAAAGGACAACCAACACCCACACGTATTCATTTACTACGAGAAGTCCTACGAATGCAATTCATTTAAATTTTAAATGATTTAACTTGAATTGCACGGAATTACGCCGAAGGAAAAATTAATTTAATTAATTAAATTGTTTCTTTGTAAATTCGGAAACACTCGGCATGTGTACGTCCAGTAAGCCCGCAGGTCCTGTAAAGGACAATATCCTTGCTATTAGGACTAAATGTCGATAACAAACAAACGGACGCAGCTAAAGTGGCGAACTGTGCAAACTGTGCAGCGTAAATAGAGATTTCTCCAAGGATCAAATCGCCACTGAGAGAGGAGGATGGGGGTGAGGGTGAGGATAATACCAAATGCACATATTATAATCTAATTGTTAAATATTATACGGAGTGATTTACCTTCTTTCATTCCGGCGAAGGATTCGTCTTTCTTGCATGCTTTGGATGCTTTGACAACTTGGAACTCGACGCAGTATCTGAAAATATGAAATGTGTTACATTTTTTGTTATAATTCAAAAAGTATAAAAGATAGGGACATAAAATGAACGGAGTTTTATTCCTCATTAAATTGTGTTTTATTTGATGTATTGGTTCATTATTTTTGTTTATTAGAACAAAAGTTATAAGCTGTTAAAGTTGCATAACTTATTTTTTTGATGATAAATGTAATGTTTTAGTTAAATTATTATAACTAATTTTTGAATAAGTTTATTTGTTAATAATAAATGTCATTTAACTCTATTTTAAATTGCCTTTCATTCAAGATATAGTTTGTTATTCTTCAATATTTATATCCTGAGTTACCGCATAAGAAAGTAACAAGTTTAGATCATACACAACTTCTAGAATTTTCAAATTGTAATACTGCAATAAAATTGTTTTTATTCATTAATGTATCACGTTATAAACATAATTTATGCAATATTCTATTCAACATTAAATTCTCTTTCAAATGATGTATTGCATGTAATAATTGAATATTTAGGAAATTAGTTATAACGTTGCAAAATTGAAAACTATTTTTTATCTCCAAAAAATGAAATTATTTACTTAAATTGTTATAAACAAACAATGAGTACCTATATTGCAATACTAACTGTTTCAGTTAATACTAAATTAAATACTCTTTCATATTATGTTTTGTTGATGATCCTACGATATGTATATCCGGAGTTATAATGCAACAAACATGAGTTACAAACTTAAACTTCACTTTGTAAAAATTACTAAATTAAAATATTTTACTTAAACTTAAATAATTAATAAACCAATAAACACACGAAATAAAGCTAAAAATAAAATGATTCAGCATTAAATTCTCTTTCATTTGACATTTTACGCAATATAATAAAATAATTACTTTGAAAGTTATAATGATCTAAAGTTCAAGTTAAATTTCCAAAACTTTCTCAAAACATATTGTATAAAAATATCTACCTAGATATATAAAATTATAAAATGAAATTATGTGTGTCTACTCCCGAAGATTCTTCGTACTCCTATCGAAAATCTTAAATCCTCCAAAAATGTAATAAAAAACGAAGCCGAAAAGCACTGGAATGAAATGAAATACGTTTTCGGCCTGCGCGCCTGCAAAGCGATGTGATGCGATGCGGTATCGAGGAAATCGACTCGGAAAATTCGTTTTGTTTCCCGCTCATCCTTTTATAGCCCGCGTGCGCGTCGAAAAGCCGAGCAATCAGAAATCAGTAATATTCCTCGTGGTCCTTTTTACTGTCTTATTGCCTCGCTTCTCGAATCTTATTTCGTTGTGTGCGCGCAGGAACAGGATAATTGGCAGCGAAAAAGTAGCCAACAAAAAAATAGTTCAAACAATTGTCGGAGAAATTCCAAGAATTCGCGAAACGTGCGCGTTTGTTGCTGGTTTCTGGTGCGGATGTCGAAAACATCGAAATATTGCTTTGAAGGACATATCAAGGAGTTTTGTATCGCAATGTAAACAAAAGAGAAGAGAAAAAAAGAAGAAAAAGTTTCGTACAAAGGAAAGAAATTGACAGAAAAATAAATTTATCGAGTGATATTTTTAGTAATATAAAATATTAATATATAGAAATGATTAATTAATGGTTTTTTGTGTCCTTCATGAAGAAAATTTCAAAATAATCATTAAAAACATAACATTTTTACGTTTTTTTAAGTTTTTAAATGCAATTCTTCAATAAAACTTAAATTATTTAAAAACAAAAAATGTTAGGAAAATGTTATAAAGACGAGTTAATGCAGCGTTAAATTCTCTTTCGATTGATGTATTGTATGTAATAATTGAATATTTGTTAAAAAAGTTATCACGTCTCAAAGTTGAGAAATATTTTTTATCACTAAAAAATGAAATAATTTACTTAAATTGTTATAAATAAACAATGCAAACGCGTATTTTAATACTAAATATTTAAATATACATTAAATTAAAAACTCTTTCATGCTATGTTTTTTTTATTATCCTACGACGGGTATATCCGGAGATATCGTGCTTCAAACTTAAGCTTTGCACTTAAATTTTACTCCCTACAAAATACTAACATAGTTGATGCGACTTATTTTGTTAAAACTTAAATAATTCAATCATTAATACTCTCAAAAAATTTAAACTTATATTAAACAAATAAGTATTAAATTCTCTTTTAAATGATGTTTTACACAAAATTATTAAATAAATACCAAAAAAGTTACGCGGCTCCAAAGTTCAAAAATATATTATCTACAAAAAATTTGCAATAATTTGTTTAAATTGCTATAAATAAACAATGGTAATAGTTATTTCTATACTCTAAAAACATGTAAAAATTAAATTAAATTTTCTTTCATTTGATATATAATTCAATAATCTACGTCAATTATCTTCGGAGTTATAATGCAATAAACTTTGCACATGAAAAAAGACTCAAATATTAATAAAATAATAATTAATTAACGGTCTTTAATGCCTTCCGCGAAGGAAATTCCACGCAAATCATTAATTAAACCACGTTGACACCGTTTTGTCATCAGAACACAATAATACCTTCGAAATTACCCAAATCGATGACTAATTATCAATTAATTAATTATCACACACACACACACACACACATCACAAAACGACGTCAAGCCTCCACCCAACGGTAAATTCTTGCTAAATTCGTGTCCTTGAACAAAATACTTAACCAAACTGCCGGCGGATTATTTGTTAGTGGACCGGAAGCTTTTTGTGTGCGCAAATCTTGCTGTAGGGGTGCATATTTCATATTTTCACGGCTGAAACAATTTCCACGCGCGCTCTCAAAACTTTGCGGTCGCAAAACTATGCGATTTATATCGGCGGCGGCGGCGGTGGCGGCGGCGTGCGTCAGAAGGGAGGAGAGGAAAACTTACGCTCGCGAATGATTTACGACCACCACGCGGGCAGGCAACCAACACAACTTATTTTATGTTACAGTTACAGTGTGAATGAAAACAAAAGCAAATCGTAAACACAACTGCGGTGGCTGTGAGGCGAAAAAATCGAGGGTTGAGGGGTAGATTTAGTGAATGCTGTCAGAGTCACAGATTAAAACGTTATAAACATTCGTAATTCATGTGAAAGTAGTGATTTAAACTTAAAACTCACTGAATTACAACCAAAAATGAGTAGTTTTATACGTTTTGAGTTTAAAAACTGTATATTGGGTTGCCTACGTTACACCTAAAGATATGACAGATGTAAACATGATAATATAACCCCTAAATTTAATAAAAATAGCATTTTATAGTCATTTTCTTATATTTTAACCTCAAAAACCACTCAAAACATGTTTTTTATAGTTTAAAATGGCAGAAATTGTGATTTAACCTCAAAACTAACCTAAAACACCCCTAAAAAGCCATTTTGTATTATTCTAACCTCTCTAAACTCCCCTAAAAGCATTTTAACCTGTTTACCGCACAAAATTCAAACTTTTTAACCTTAAAAACAACCAAAACACAATTTTTATGTAAATCCAAAATGGCCGCCATGTTAATACATAATTTTTAACCTCATATTCACAACATGCTAATACCTCATTAACTCCACCTAAATCTGTTTCCTTTTCCATGTACACCTTGCTAATCACCGCCATTTTGTGCGCGACTTAAAATGGCTGTGCCTGGCATAATCCTAACCTTACTTTGTTGTCTGCTGCGTAATGTGTACGATTGTAAAGCTTTGTTGGCGTTTGTTTTGTGCGCTCGTTTGCGCGCTTTTTTATGCCGGCCGACTTTTGTTTCATTGCCTGCCTCGAAGGTGAAAAAGATGAAAGCTTTCCGCTCCGACAGCTTCCGTCGTCCATTAATGGGTTTCTTTGTTTCGCGCGCGCTCATCAATTAGGCCCAATGGCAAATAGCAAATACCAACGACACAAAAATTCATTTCTCGTTTTTTTTTTTCGTTTTAATATATCAAGAATAGTAATACATCAACCACTTCCGTTTTCCGGTTTTCCGGTTTGTGTGTGTGTGTGGATGTGTATGTTGAGGAATTAGTAAGATAATTAGCGGCGGCTTTGAGCAATCTCGCAATTTGCAACTTGCAAACAACTTGTAACTTCCAACTCGCGTGTGTTTGCACGTCCGCCATGTTTGTTTTCCCGAACTCGCGCGTGTTTCTAACCTCTTTTCGTGCATTTTATCGCGCAAACTTAATTTTCCTGCGTTGAGTTTCGGATTACAATTAACACATAATTCCGTGTTCACCAAACTTACACATCAAACCGGAAAACACAACAAAACAAAATTCAAAATGGCCGCGGAACAAATCGCTACAAAAACACAAGAGATACGTTTGTTTTAAAGTACTAATTGTTACACCTGTTAATTGTTAAGTGTTTAACTTTAACAAATAAAAGTTTCCGGAACTTCCGGAACTTCCGGTAGGCACGTTCGACTTGCTACACGTGTAATTACAATATAATTCCTTCAGGACGATTCAAAACGACTTGAAAACACAAAAACTTTCGATACATACAATGTGTCCACATACAAAAAAATAAAAATTAAATTTTTAATCCGCCATTTTAATAGCTGTGACTATAAAAACACAAAAATCTTTTATTTTGTCACTGGACACATTGTATATTATGCTAATCACAGTTAGTGCCTTCCTGATGACTAAATAATAACTCAGTTTCGAAAGCGAGCGCCATTCTCACATCCTTGCTTGATTTTCGTCCTGATTTCGAGGTCCTTGCTCGTTACAGTTTACGCTTCGCTCCTTCGCGCCCAGAAATCTGCTGGAAGTCTGTGGGGCGTGTAAAACATATCCGACCATGCGCGACGCAAACTTTAACTCGCGTTATCGCGACGAGGACGAAAGGATTTCGTAAAAATTTCACTTCCGCTTTAATATTGAAATTGTAATGTAGCGAATGTGATCTATCAGCGGATTAAATTAAATTACGGACGAAAGTTTTGTGCACACATTGCATACGGAAGTCAAATAGTCTGCGTTATCCTCCAGGATAATAACGTATGTAATAATCGGATTAAATTTTTTATTATGTAAGAAGATTAGATTTTTCTCTTAAATAGAATTTTAGCGTTTTTATCAAAACCGGAAAACCGGAAGTGGGAAATTTTTCGGTTAATTTTTATATTAACTTGATAAAATATCAAAATTTTAAGAAAATTATTAAATTACTATGAATTTTGTGAAACCGGAAAACCGGAAATTATACAAAGTGTTCACTTAAAACAATATTTATTTATTTTGTTTGTCCGTGTGTTATTTGCTCTTTGACTCTCTTGATCCTTTTGTCCCTTAGTGCCCTGAACGAGCACATTTGTATGACATAATATGATCGCCATAAAAAGGATCAACGCGCGGCTGGAAAAGCAGGACGATGCTTTGGGGGCTAAGGACGAAAAAGTTAGACGAGTGCCACCCTCGACCACCCTCGAGGGTGAATTGTAAAGTAAGAGCGCGATAAAATACGAATGCACTAAACTACCGAATTTACAGCGACGACTTTCAACAAAAGGACGAACGGAACAAGGACGAAAAACACGCGAAAGCGAAAAAGCGCACGAGCAGGGATGAAGTAAACGCGGCGTAACTTATGTACCTAAAGCGGACGTGCGCGGAATAAGATAATACCGCCTGCAAGGATAACAATATAAATAATAAACAAATCGGAAGTAGTGCAGAAATAAAGATAAACATATAATTAGAGTAATTAAAGTATTAAATTAATTCTAAAAAATAGTTAAAACCAAAACCGGAAAACCGGAAATTTACGCGTAAAATAATGATTTTTGTGTTGAAAAATATTTTATCATATATTTTATAAAATTTATTATGAAATTAATAAAATTTACCAAACCGGAAAACCGGAAAACCGGAAATAGATTAATAATAAACGTATATATTTTCTTTTCTGTAATTTTTTCTCTAACTTCTGTCAAGAATCTGAAATGAGAGATCAATGAAATCGTTCAGTCATCCTCTCGTCAGTCCTGCCGGCGCATCTCAAGGATCCCGAGGATTTCCGCAGATACGAGAATATACCGCAAAGTAATAGCATGGATTCAAGTCGGGTGACTTTCCGCCGGCCGGAAAATAGAGTGAACACATCACCCACGCAAGAAACGAAAAGACTGCACCGCTCAAGCACTGAAGACGTTCGTTGCGTCCTGTCGACGGTGTGTTCACGCTTGATCGACAATAACCCCTTGGGCTTTCCCGCAAAATAAAACCGGAAAAAAGGACGAAAAACGTTTTTTTCTCCTCCAAATAAAATAAATAAAATAAAAAGAGTATAGACACACTGTATGTGAATAGAATAGACTAGGATATGTTTCGGAAAGTTATATTCTGAAATTGCATGTTTCGTCCTGGCGAACAGGACGACTGATTCGTCCTTGTTTGCGCATGGTTCAATATTTCATAAAAAACGCCAAACAAAAATACGAAAATCTAAAAACCGGAAAACCGGAAAAATCGGCGAAAAATTATTATTTTTTATATAATATTGTGTGATATTGTGCACTTCCGGTTGATTACGTTTTATTATTACATTTATTACGCGCGCGCCGTGTGTAAACATAACATAACTCGTCGGTTAATTAATTGATTAATAAATAATGCACAAATGATCAAATAATTAAAATAAGCCAATGTTTCGTTGATCAAAATATTTACGTTTCATTAGCGGCGCATGAATGTAATAATAAATATAATATTTAATTTAATTTTAAAAAATAGTTAATTAATTTATTTTGAGTACTACTTCCGGTTATTTATTTTTTCTCGTGTTTCGGAAGTTTGCGAAAAGTTTGAAGAGTTTTTAGTTTTTGCCGGATAGAACTTTATCCATAGTGGTTTTTCAACTCTATTTGTGGCTTGTGGAAAACCCGGAATGTCGGAAGTGAAGTCGGAAGTGAAGTCGTAAATTCACATTTTTCCATCGGAAAATTACAAAAATTGATTTTTTATATCTACTAGAAGAAAATATAAAATAAGTTTAGTAAAGTGGAAAACCGGAAAACCGGAAGTATACGTTTTAATGGTGATTTTACAATGATAATAAATAATCTTTAGTTTTATTGTTAATTTAAACTAAAATTATTATTAATTAATTGAAAAATCAATACCGGAAAACCGGAAGTAATATTGGATTATATATTATTTCGATGAGATTACTAATATAAATTATTTGTAATCCATTAAAATTTAAAATATAAAAATAATTGTTATTTATCAAACAAATAAATAAATATGAATGTTTATTTATTTATTATTAGCAACAAAAATCAATAATTGCTCTAATTTGCGGTAAAGCCGGGTGATTAAACAGTTAATCCACGTAAATAATATCCATAGAGACAGTTTCGATTTAAAAACAAATAAAATGTCAACCGGAAAATAAATTTTTTTTGATTTGTTTTTGAGGTTAAGTTGAAATCAAAACCAAATTGCGTTTGTGCCGCGATCGGACGTTGATGGAAGGTCGCGCCGGCGGGTTCGCACCGGTTAATGCCCCGCATATGTCATGGAAACTTTTCGACCCGCCACGCATATCCGGAAATGGAAAGAAATTGAGAAGGGTGCATTTTTTACACACTTTTTTTTATTCCGATTTGATTTGCTCCCACATGAAAAACAAAAAAAAGTGAGTTCACCGCAAAACGCGAGAAAAAAAAACACAAACCGGAAAACCGGAAAAGTGTATGAATAAGAAATTGATTGTGTGAGCCGTATGCAGATGTGGAGAGTGTGTATAATATTCAAGGATGAAATATGCGCACTTATCGTGATGAAAAAAAATAAACACAAGATGGCGGCGCGGCCAAGACCTCAAAATGGAAGACATCAATCTTTCATGTTTTGTTTTCCGGGAATAATTCGCGTGAATAACGAAAAGGTTTGAATAAACACCGGTGTGATTTAATTAGGTGAAACACGCGTAGGTGGAAGACAAAAGACAACAAACAAACAAAAGCGGAAAACGATGTGCGTCGATGATCAAAGAATTCGAAAATGGCCGACGATCAAACAGAAACCCAGCCGGTAATGAAATTAGACTAAAATTACATTACTACAAACATAAACAGGCGTAAATTATGAAGAAAAAAAACGCGGAAAAACAAGATGGCCGCCGATGATATTAATGAAATAAGCGCTAATTATGTTAATTGAATTAATTTAATTAAAATGAGTGTAATTAACGCTAAAAATCTACAAAAATTGCCTCAATTTCCGCTTTTCCGGTTCCGGAAGTAATGCAAATATAAGCGTACATTTATGCCAGACGCTTTAATTAAATATTTTCCATCCGCCCGCCTGTGCGTCAGGATGAAAGAATACTTGTAAGAAATAAAAGGACGCATGAAACCGGAAAAAAGGATGACATGATGAGTCGCAATGTAAGACGGACTAATTCGAAACGTTTTAATGCGCTATTTATTTACCGTGTCGACGGCTGTTTATAAAATAAATATATTTTAACTCCAAACGTTTTCAATTTTTAGTAAATGTGAATTTTGTAACTTTATTTTTTCTTAAAGGAGCAATTCGTTATCCTTTCTCGTCCTTATCGTCCTGGCGGCTTAAGAAAGTGAACGCCACAGTAAAATACTCTCTCGGTTGCTCGCTTTGTGTTTTGCCTTTTAGTATTCCAAAGTATTCCGCGCGTTTTCCGGGTCCTGCGAGAGTCCTGGCGCGAGTTACGCTTAATGAATGAATTAAAATGTAAGATAGCAAAGTCTTAAATAACTTGTGCGTTTGCATCGATCGCGATTAGGCAACAAATCAACTGATAGCTGGAATTAAACATTCCGGAAAACTCCTTCCAACAGGATAATAGCAAGATAATACCATAATTGACAATTAAAACTTCAAAAACATTAATATTTCCATTACCACACACAAAAATTCCCCAAATCGGAAAACCGGAAAACCGGAAGTAAATTTAAAAATCACTTACTGCTTGCTAGGATCATATTCCGGATGGTCCTCTGGGTAACTAATGTGTAGATTTCTTCGGATGTCGGCGGTGGCGTTTGCTTTCCGGGTCTTTGACAGCGTTCCGGGCAGCAGGATCGCAATCTCTGAAAAAAGGATAAAGCCGAATTCTTTATATGCATTTTTATCGCAGTTAAAAGCATAAAATAGTCCTGATCTGTGCTCCTTGGAGAATTTACTTCTCTTTCATGAAGTTTCTGCCAAGGACTTATATCTTGAATAAGAAGGTGCAAAGTTAGAATCAAGTCGTCCTTGGAGGACATTAAAACTCACGCCGACACAAATGAATCACCATTTAATTTTTTTTCCGGGGCTTGAATGCAAAAGGATAATTTTCACATCGCTGCAAGTTCATAATCCTGTTTTATCTTTGAAAATAAATAAGGATAAACGTCCACACGGTAAGGTGTCATCCTGACATCCGGTTATCCGACTTTACGCTGCTCGGGGATATATCCTTGCTAAGGATAATGCAACACCGGGATCGTTTTCATTATGCTACTTAATAATTTGCCCCGGTTTTGTTACAAACCGGAAAACCGGAAGTGACACATTTTAATGCGGGAATGTATTTAATAATTATTTTTATCCGATGCGTTTTTTTGAATTTTTTTTCTGTGTTAATGTGTTGTGGGTTTTTTGCTATTTCCGGTTTAGAGGATTACTACTGCCTGGCGCGCTCTCGGCCGCTAATATACTTTTTCAATAAACTACCTTTAGCGATATTTTATCTCCTCTCGTTGCGTTCAATCGCCGGCGGGCGCGCGCAGTTTTTCTCAATTTCCCGCACGTTTCTCCTCACGAGCTTTTATTGCCCCCATTTCCCGAGCTTTTCCACCGCGTGCGCCATTGTGTGCTATTTGAGCTATTACGATACGAAGTAATTCGAGACGACGGCGAACGATACACACCGACAGGATAACAGCGCTCCGGCCGTATTGTTAAACTACATAAATGTTGAAACTAACAAAAAAACGTCGACTAATAGCAACAAAAAATTGCGAATGCGGCCCGAAATAGCCAATATTGCATTTCGGGACAATTTAGGTCCTTGGTAAAAGGATAAAAACGCGATAGGATTGTGTTGTGCATGCGTTTTGTGTCCGAAAATTACACAATTCGGAAAGAAATGGAAAAAAGGACGATTTTGGCAGGACCCACACTGGATAAAGGAATAAATCGAATTGCAATCGCCCGGCGGACAGGTGGCAATGTTCGAAACTACAATTACCAAAAAATGCCCCGCGATATACCGCATGTACCAAGAAAAACAATTATTTTATAAAATTTCTACGAACACCCAGTATAAAATTCAATTTTAATAAACAATAACAAAAAATTAATTAAACTTTTTTATCCCGGTCGACGCCGCTGAAGAATAATGCAAAAATACCAAACCGGAAAAGCGGAAATCTAGAGAATAATAGTATTTTTTTCCATGTGCCATGTTTTTTGTGTCAGTCAAACAAAATTAAATACTAAATTGAATTTTTCTGCAAACCGGAAAACCGGAAGTAAATATATATTTATCTATATAAATATTCAACGAATGAATCTACAATTTAAGTTTTCTCACTGAACACATAAAATATCTCCATTATCCTTTCGCGTCTTTGTCTGGGGGGTAAACTTTGCGTCTGCTACTTCCGGAAAGTTGAAATTTTGAAAATGTTCGTTAGATCCACGAGTAGTTTAACGAGTTTAACACGTGAAACACGTGCGGATACGTGCGGCACGTCTAGGGGTGGTTTTCACCCCCGAATTCACCCCTCTCTACCCCTTTCTATAAACCGGTGAAGCGTTAAACTCATTAACAAATATGTCTGCAAGGATTCCAACTTTTCATCCCCGGAAAGTTTTAAATAAAATAAGAAATATAATAATAATAATAATTCAAGATTTAAGGGATGATTTTGACTTGTCTGGCACCGGCACCGGAAGTGACTGAGTGCAAACGTGAGTGTACGCCCATTGGAGATCATTCATCAACATCAACCCTTAACATGGTTTAGGGGTGGGTGTGTGAGTAGTGTGGACACACTGTATGTTATGTCACCAAGGGGGTAGTAAACAAAGGTGACACCTATGTTGACACATTGACTAATGGCGTTCGACGCGCTGGCAAGGATTGTGCGGTTACGCCAGGATAACGCCAGGACCATTTGCAGGGGTTGCTGGTGACGTTAGGTTACACACTACAACATGTCACGTGTGATACTTTTATTTTCATTTGTTATTTTAAGAAAAACTATTTTTTAGGAAAAAAATCACAAACCGGAAAACCGGAAGTGAAACCGGAAGTGTCCCTAAATATTGCGGGAATGTATTTTATTATATATTTTTTTATATGAATTTTTAGTTTCAAGGACGTTTCAAGGATAAAACGTCCTATTTTCATCCCGGCGTGAATTTCTATATCTCCTGGTGTGAGTGTGTTCGCGCACTTGAGAATAATTTCGTATTCATTTAGTAATTGCCAGGAGGACGCGACGAGGACGAAAGCGGAAATGGAAGGCGCGAACGAAGAAAGAACAGGACGGGTTGGTGTGTGTCTGTGCGGGCGAGTCGTTCATTTCGATTTTAATAGCTTTTCGCGCGCGCCGTATACGAAAACCACCCCTGCCGCCCCCGCCCCCGTAAGAGATTAAGGGTAGTCAGCACCCGCAAACCGCATCAACGACCAGTGCAAGATTGAGCTATGAATAATGATTAATGAACAAACAAAAAACACAATTAAAACTTTGACAGATGTCATCAGGCGGGATATGACAGCCGCCATTTTGATTATAAATATTTATTTCTTTGGATAATTAAATCAAAATTTAATTTATTATCCTTTAAATTTTCTTTTAGTTTTTGAGAAAACCTTTTTTGGTTTTTTGGGAAAAAGGATTAAAAAAGACGAAAATAAAACAAGATAAATTTGGGAGCTTGACACTATATCCTCAACGTTTAAGTAGAGTCCTTATTTGAATAAGGACGATACAGCTACGCAAGGATAAAAGGACAAAAGGACAAAAGATGAAAGTTTTGCAAGACGCAGAGGAATTTAAGTTGGAAACGACGCAATGCGCTATTTAATCCTAGCCTAAATGCATATTTAAATTGTATTAATTTTTCAGCTATTAAAATGGCGTCGTAAAAGCTTCTCATTTTTTTATTTCTTAAAATTTAAATTATATTATTCTGTATATTTCATTATGTATAACCTAACTGCATATTTTAAGAGTAATAATTTTTGAGCTATTAAAATGGCGTCATCACGGCTACTCATTTTTTTTCTAAAAATTAAATTTATATTTCACATGGAAAAACTACGATTTATTAAGTTTATTTGATTATGAAAAATTCAAATTTTAAAAGCAATAATTTTGGAGCTATTAAAATGGCGTCTGAAGAGCTACTCATTATTTTTTCTCTCTAAATTTAAATGCTAAAATTCTTCCCACAAAGAAAAAAACTGTCGATTAAGCTGCATCCTTGATCGACACTTGAAATTTCCCCTCTTCGTTTTTCCCTCCAGGATAAAAGACGAAAGGATGAAAAATGAACTGATAAAAAATCCGCATGACAAAAACCACACCTTTCTTACCGCGCCGAGAGAAAAAAAAACTCCTCACGCCGAAATCTTTGATCCTTTTCGCACCTTCGCCTTCTAATCCTTCGTGCTCCTTGTTTCGTCCTTTGTCTCATCACTCAAAACTCGTTACTCTTACACATCCTATACTGCTGTGCGCGTAATAAAACGACGCGACGAAAATTTCTCCGCGTAACTTTTGCGCGCCGAATAAAAAGGACGAAAAAGGATGCGGACGCGCAAAGAAAATAACATGATTAATTGCTTTTCGACCGGTAACCGCCCCCTACATCAGCCTCAAGTATAGGGGAGTTGTGTGTATGTCCTGCAGGAGTATATTGGATGGCTTTTGTGCGTAATAAGATGGCGATGGTGTGGAGAAGGATTTTAATTCCACTCAAAGTTTGCGGAGTTTTTATCCTTGCAGACGGTAATGACTAAAGTTGCATCAGGCAATAATAAAAAAGGGAAACAGGGAAATATGAATCGAGTTAAAGAAAATCATGAAAAAGAGTTTTTAAAGGGGAAAAGGATGAAAATTTTGGTAAAGGAAAATTAATTAAAAACTGTTTAATTTGGGATGATTATTATGATGTAGTATTAATTAAGTGTTTTTTTTTTAATTTTTGAAATATTTTAGTAAAGTGACTTAAGTTAAGTCAAGTTTACTTAAAGTAATAAAGGTATTATTTAAGTAGACTTAAGATTAACTGAATAAAAATATATTTTCCAAATAAAAATTTAAGTGACTTAAGTTAAGTCTACTTTACTTAAGTTAAGTCAAGTTTACTTAAGTTAAGTAATATGTAATAAAAGAATTATTTAAGTAGACTTAAAATTAAATCCATAAAGAACATATTTTTCCAATGAAATTTTTAAATGACTTAAGTTAAGTCAACTTTACTTAAGTCAATAATCTCGAAAACACAAAATTCTAATTCAAATGTACTTACATTTAAGTCATTTCTAAATTTACAACGACCGCCACCTATATTAAAATAATTCCTAAACTACCTAACCCACCATTCTTACTTAAACTTAAAACTTAATTATCCACCCTAATTTTAATTCTAATCACTGCATCAATCAAAACCTTCGCCTGCTTTAACGTAAATTATAATTTATACGCTTATAATTTACGTAAACACAAGTGACAACATGTGTGCGCATATCGTAAAATGCAAATTACGCACGTCGCTGCCGCTTAACTTATTTCATCCCCTGTTTTGTTAGGGCTGCACATGGGAGTTAATGCATTAACACGCTTAAGAACAAGCCAACGCGTTTTGACAGCGCGTACGAACCAATTTATGAAATTCGAGCAAACATATACCATGAATAGGCAACCAAACGTACCGAATTGAGTAGATATGTGAATGTTTGTATTAGTTATGTATGTTTGTTACGCTTTCACGGTAAAACCAATGGAGGGATTTTGATAAAATTTTGTGTGGGGATAGTTAAGATATGGGAAAATAATATCGGATGGTTTTTTTAGGGAGAATTTGAGTATAAGGGTGAGAAATAGGGGATGAAAGTTAAAATATGATTAAATTATAGTTTTTGTTATGTAATTTGAATTTAGAGGGCGTTAAATGTTATTCATAGCATGTTTTGTTCCATTAATCAAAAATTTAAAAACAAAATGGTGGACACAACATATAATAAGTCCAAAATAACAAAAAAACTAATTAGTTAGAATACTTTTAATAAAAAATCAACTGAGATATTGTAATGGATAAGAAATAGAATAATATGAAAATATAGGCAACCAAATACACAGAAACACAATACATGTATGCATTCTGTGTTGCCTATAATTGAAATATAGTACGCGTATCATTTCCGTGCGCTTGACTGCCCCCGACTGCTTCTCGATTACTTCTGAAACCAAAACCGGTATTGATTTCGTATGCGCGCAGATGTTTTCCGCCCGCGCGCACTCACATCCTGCAGGATAACGATATGCACTACAACTGCATATTCTCTCCTCCGCTTCCACCTCAATACATATTTCTACAATAATCATAACAATCATAAAGCCTGCGCGTACGAGTCTAATAAAATAGTGATAAAGTTTGGTTATGTTTTGAATATCCACTTGTATTGTGTATTGTGTATTGTGTATTGTGTGTTGCGCGTTGGTTGCCTCAAGTTTCAAGGCGAGATTGTGTTATTGATGCACCAAAGTTGAGACTTTAATTCGGCGCGCACTAATTGAATCAATTTGTTATCCTCGCCGGTGGTATGCGGGAGGATAACGCGAGCGGAAGCCTTTTGGCTTAACTGCCGCATTCCGTGCGCGGGTCGAGCCGCCATTATCCAGGTAATAATGTAGATGTTACCGAAATCACCGCAAGGACTTGGACTATAGCGGTGTACATGCCAGGGTTGCCAGAAGTAATTATTTTGTGGAAAAATTTGTTGAATTTTGATTTTTTTTGGAAATAAATTGAGGGTATAACAATTTTTAGAAAAAATGTTTGGTAACCCTAGACTATTTAAGAAATTAGGGTGGCCAAAAAGTGATTATTTGTGGTGTGTAAAATATATTTTATGTCCAAAAAAGGTTTTTTTTCTTGATAAAAATAATTTTTGACTTTTTTAGAAAAAAGTTTGGTAACCCTAGTATTTATAGGTAGGTATTTGCAATATTTGGGCCTTTGACCTCATTGATTATCCTTGAAACATAAGTACTCGCTCTTCAGAGTATAATCCACTTGAATGTAGAATTTGATGATACTTTTTTGTTAATATTATAATACTAGATAGGGTTACCAAAAGTAACAATTTCTGTTTAAATATAATTTGTGATATTATTTTGAGTTAAATTTATATTTATTAGAATATTATCCTAGAAAGACTAAATTTTTAGGAAAAAATTTAAAAAAAAAGTTTGGTAACCCTGAAATTTACGGTTATTTAACATTCTCCAATAAAATACATGATCCTTGAAGATTTATAAAGTATAATCAGCTTGAAAATATCCTTTATTTACCAAAAATTTCTAAATTTTGAAATATTTTTAATAAGTTGAGAGCTACTCATTAACAGAGTCGGATTAATTTAAATTTTAATAAATATTCAACGCTAAAAACATTAATTTTATCTTCTCGAGGAATGACTATTAAATTATCTTGCTTTTAGCTTGAATATTTAAAGTAACTATTATTTAAAAATAAATTCTAAGGCCGGTCCTGTTTATATGCTAAATTTCTAGTAATAATGCATAGCACAATATCTGATGTATGATGACATTATGTTTCAGTTTCAGTTTACAGGAAGGCGACACGTGTGTACCTGCACCGGCACTTGCACATTAATGCCACCCGGATGCACTCGATGCAAACACCGGGGGCGGCAGAATTTCAACTACCCCACGATATCATCATCTTTAACATATACAGATAATAACATAAAACTAAAAAATGTATAAACCAAAACTACCATAAATATTAAATGGATATAAAAGTTTATAAATCACAAAGTGTCTTAAGTTAAGTAAAAATGACTTAACTTAAGTCACTTAAGTAAAAACCTCAAAAATGAATAAAAACACGAATTATTATCAAATTTAATCGTAAATCAACAGAAATACAATTTTTTCATCTCTATTATCACTGGGGGCGGCTGAAACTCTACCACCCCCAACAAAAACATCATCATTAAAATATTCATCAACAAAATAATAAAATTATACGAACAAAAGTCACTCTAAATATCAATTTAATTTTTTTTTTATTTTTCATCCACTAAAACCAAAAATATAACCACCCTTAGTTTTATTTTCTGTGAATTTTGTGAATTTCATGATTTTTGACAGATGGATTGACGTGATTTTGTATCTGTCCAAATAACGTCAAAGCAACGTTGATAAACTAACAAAAAACGACAAAAAACCAACTCACTGGCGGTTTGAACCGTGTTGCGAGTCGAGTCCAGGGGGTGGTTGGGGGTGGCACGAAACCAAACAGCAATACGTTGATAAATGGCCGCGTATTGTTTGTCTACGCCGGAGGCGGCAGACGCGATACAAATGACCGAAACTGACCGGCAACTCATTAAACTAAATTAAACGGGATATCATATTATATACAGTGTGTCCACACTAAACCATACATCAACAAAAACATAAATTAAATAAAAACACAACTTTTAAATGATTTTAAATTATTTTTAAAGAAAATATTATTATTATACAACACTCTGTATATAATATATGTGTGATAAATACTCCGGGGGCGGTTTTTGGCGGTTTTTGGCGGCGATGTAGGGATCATCTACATCATATTTCACGCTCCATTCGATACGCGCTAAGCCGGAGCATGAACGGAAAACAGAATGAAAATAGGGGTGCACACGCCGCCCCCAACCTCGGGAAAACCACCCCCGCTTAACCACAACCACATTTTGTGAACAATTGTCCTGTCAGGTTATCGGGGTTCAAATCACATCGTAAATCAACGATCAAGAATCACGCATATTATTTCTAATAGATTTTAATTTAAAAATTTTGAAAAATGTTAAAAATTAAAATAAAAAAAATCCCTTTTGGTGTTTTTGTAAATTTATGATCAAAAAACCATTTAATTCATGCAGAGATAAATATTGCTCACATTCATGTGACAGCGCATTGATAAAGCGATTGAAACACGATAACCGTTTATGATTGCACGCAAAATGTTTTCATTTTGGAAATTTTAAAATATACAGAGTGTTTTAAAAATGGTACTTGAATAAATTTCGAGAAAAAAATGATACATTTGTGAAATTTGAATTTTTGGGTTTAAAATATTATTTTATTAATAAATCACAAAATGACTTAAGTTAAGTAAAGCTGACTTAAGTTAAGTAAGGCTGACTTAACTTAAGTCACTTACGTATAATGTTAAAAATTCTAGTTTTTGTTAAATTTTTGATCTGTAAAATTAATTCGAGGAGAAATTTAAAGAGATTTACGTTACTTAACTTAAGTCAGTTAAGTATAACAAAATAAAAATCAAATTTCCCACTAAACTTAATTTCAAATTGTCTTATATAATATTTTTTTGAATCACAAATGTAATTCTTAACTTTTAAAAACTTAAGTAAACTTGACTTAAGTTAAGTAACTTAAATAAAAACCTCAAAAAAGGACAAAAAATATCATTTTTTTTCTAAATTTAATCCTAAGTCAACTTAAATTTACTTTTTAAACCATATTTTTTCAAATATCTTCTATTTTTAATCATAAAACACACTGTATAATAATTTCCCCATTAAAAACATGAACATCGCGATAAACAATACTCGTAATTTTCAATAATGCTTTCATCAGCAACAAATAATCATTGCTTGGCGGGTTGCGTGCCCAAAACCACAAATACACCTCAAAATAAATCAGAATCTCTACACATACAGTGTGTCCCGCGATCAATAACCATCAAATTAAAACAAATGACATTATGCGCTCGGAATCGGTGTAAAACCGAGTAAAACACACAAAACGTGATTTGATACGCGTATAACTATGATATAACTATGATAGAGTGTAATAAGGGATGATTGATTACTCGCTGATGGAAGTTGCCGCAACTAATGCTCAAATTGAATCAAATCACATCAAACCGAGGCGAAGCGCGAGCCGAATATTCGATGGGAATATTATGAATATTTATCTTCGTACGAGATTAATGCGTTTGAGTAAAAATGCAGCAATCGATCGGAGTTGCAGTTGCATCAGCTGAAAGGGGTGCAACTCAAACCCACTGAATTATTTCCGGTTTCTGTCAAGTCGACTGGCAGGCAAGTTTAACACCGAAATGCACTTTACAGGTGAATATTTTAGATGGAAAATTGGACTTAAGATTAAATGTTTGAGAAATAAAGTTTTGGATATTTTTATTTAAGTGACTTAAGTTAAGTCAACTTTACTTAAGTAAAAACACATTCAAAATTAATATTTAAAGAAAATTTTGGAAAAGTAAAATAGAAAATTAAAATTTTAATTTTTTTACTTAAGTTACTTAACTTAAGTCAACTTTATCTGTAGCTATAATTAATTAAATATATAAATTTCTAATTTAAGTTGACTTAAAGTGAATTCCACACAAAATATCAATCTTTTCCATTTTATTTTTATTTCAACTTAAGTTACTTAACTTAAGTCAACTATATCTATATCTATAATTAATCTATAGTATAATATTCTAATTTAAGTTGACTTAAGTCTAATTCCAACCAAAATATCAATCATTCCCATTTTATTTTTATTTCAACTTAAGTGACTTAACTTAAGTCAACTTTACTTAAGTCAAATCCTTGCACCCAACTTAAAATTAGCTCTTTTACAACACGCAGCGCTCCAGAAAACCCACCGACTTAAGACAACTCAACTCAAAACATGACTTAAGTCATGTTATTCCTACTTAAGCTCCCAACCGATCTACTTTTAGATCAAACAGACAAAGTCAACGAACTGTAAAATCCACATAGAAACCCATGACTTTTTAATGTGTTTACACATTCAAACATTTGCAACAAATTAAAAATCTCTGTCAACGTCAAAATTTTCCATCCGAATAACTTCGTTTCGAAAAATTTTCAGAAAATATCACCAAAATGGATTATTCTCGTTTTCTATTCTTCCTCAACAACAACAATAATAATAATAATAACAGCAATAGCAATGAAAATACTTCAAGTGACGAAAATGTTAATGCGCATGCGCATGAGGATGTTGACGACAATAATAACCAAGTGAATAATAACAACGATAACAATATTGATAATAATAGTGGAACATCAATTGAGGCTGAGGCTGTGTCAACAACTACGCATCCAGCTAGTGTGGGACAACATGAAGGACTTGTTGATAATGAAGAGGTTGAGCAACCGGATGTGTTATCCTTGGCGGGAGGACATCATGGGTCTGATATTCAAATACAAGGTATTATTATGTTTTGTATTTCAAATAAATGTGAGGAATAACGGTCTAAAAATCCTAAAAATTTGATTTTGTTTACTTTTTTGTTGATATCTCGTAAACTATTATAGATAGCAATAATTCCTTTTGAGATTATGATTGCCAATTAAATTATCTATAGAGGTGTGTTTCGGTTTTATTTGTAATAAATTTTAATTGAAAGTTATTTGATGTTAAAATTGATGTTATTAATCGTTTTAGATGTAATGTTTAATTGTTAATAACGTTGTATAAAGTAGAGTGATTAATATTAATTCTGCATAAGTAGATGTAAAATTTAATGCCAAACTAATGGGGTAAATATTATTGATGTATAATATAAAGTTATTACGTTATTGAATAAATAAAGCAACGTTGCGTTTATGAGATTTTTGAGAATGAAAAAAACATGTTATAAATGAAAATGCGATCTTTTTAGCACATTTAGTCACATTTTCGCCCTTTTGCTACATGATATATTTGTATTTTATATTTTTATCTAATAGAGAATTTCCTAATTTTTCATAATCTATAATTTGCTGATTTCTATCTCTTTTAGTTTTGAAGATAATCACTATCGAAAAACCTTGCCAATTTTTTCTTATGAATTAAAATTTCATCTCTTAGATTTCCGTTTCAACTGGTCTATCTCATCGAGAATAGTTCGTAGAATAGTTTCTGCGATTTGTACCTATGTATCTCCTTTAGTTTACGATATATGCGCGATTCCATAAAATGGGCAAAAATTGAAAAATGTCACTTTTGAGTACTTTTAGCAGTGTTTTTAGACCTTTTACTGTTGGAAATATAACTATTTTATATATTTATCTGATAGAGAATTTTTCAATCTTTCATAATCAGCGATTCGTAGGTTGCTATCGCTGTTAGTTTAAGAGATATGAATTATCAAAAATCGTCGAAAAAAAGAATCAAGCACCCCCCCTTGGCAATTTTTTCTTAAGAATGAAAATTTTATCGCTCAGATTTCCGTTTTAACTAGCTTATCTTATAGAAAATAGTCCGTAGATTAAGACGCTGCAATCGGATCTTAATTATCTCTTTTAGTTTACGAGATATTCGCAATTGAATAAAATGGGCAAAAATTGCAAAATGTCACTTTTTAGCACTTTTAGTCGCGTTTTTACACCTTTTATTGTGGAATATGTAACTATATTATACTTTTATCTGATAGAGAATTTTCCAATCTATCATATTCAGCTATTCGTTCGTGGCTATCGGTTTTAGTTTCAATGATATTAATTATCAAAAATCGTCGAAAAAAAGTATCAAGCACCCCCCCTTGGCAATTTTTTCTTAAGTTGTAAAATTTTATCTCTCAGATTTCCGCTTTAACTAGCCTATCTTATAGAGAATAGTCCGTAGATTAAGACGCTGCGATCGGATCTTAATTATCTCTATTAGTTCACGAGATATTCACAATTGAAAAAAAATATTCCTAAAAATTTAAAATTCGATTTTTGAACTCATCTTAACTCCTGACATCACACAATAACTCCTCTAATTTAAAAATCCCTTATTTTCAGTATTCGAAAACGAATTCATGGAAAACGCCGGAGACGACGCCTTCGACAACCAAGACAACTCCGACGACGGCGAGCACAGTGACCGCATCCCCTCAGTCGGCGAAGGCGATTACGCCATCCAACACGGCGAGGCATTCAACTCCCGCTGGCTCCTGGAACGCATGTACAGCACCTACGACCTCGGCCACAACCTGCACGACCGCCAAGATTTCGTCAGCATCGAGCAAGCCGCCGCCAGCGAGGACATCGACGAAGATGACACCATCGCCCCCTGGGTCCTCAACCTCCGCCCCGTGCAATACCGCCCACAATCACGCATACCCACAATCGACAGTGACACCGACCAAGGCCAAAACGAAGACATCATGGAGCAGATACCCGAAATCAACGAGGAACCCATCGCGGCACCCAGGGAAGAAAGGAATAATCCAAGAAGGGTTTTTAATTTGAATGGTGAGGGTACGAGTAGTTTGGCACTGCATCCACCGAGCCCAAGTCCTAGTGAAGCTGGGTCACTTGGATCTCTTGGTGATTTTAACCTAGAACCGCAGTTATCGTTGAGGATTGGTCGCATTGCAAGGGGCGGGACTGCCAGAGGAGGCGTGGTTACTGGCGGGAGTATGTTGAGACCGACTACGTCACGCAGAAGAAGTGATAATCGCGTGAAACAGCGGAAGAGGCGTAATTTGTTTACAAATACGTATAGTTTGAATTTAGGCACGATAAGACACACGCATTGATTGATTTAAGATTTAAGATAAAGTTTTGAATAAAAATACGTTGACATGAAATGATTTTTTTGTTTTGATTGCTGATAACTTTTGATTGGAGAGAGTTAGAAATAAATTTTTGAAACAAAAGAGATTTGAAATTTAATGGAGAGTTTAATAATGTTTATGTTTTTGTTGAAGGTGGTTTTGTTGTTGATTTATTGAAGAAATAAATAAACATTTCATGTTTATTTTACTAAGCTTAGACTTTAAAATTGTGTTTTTCTTTACTTTTTTGTTAATATCTCGTAAACTATTAGAGATAGCAACAAATTTCTTTCAGAATTATGTTTATAATTAAATTATCTATCGAAAAAATTGATGTTTGAATTTATATAAATTTTTTGTTACAAATTATTAGTTGTTGAAGTTTATTTCAGTAAAATATTAAAGTGCAAAGTTTAATTGTTTATAACTTTTGATAGAAAATAGGTAAAAACAAAAATATAAAACAAACAGATGCTAAATTTTATGCAAAATCAGAAAACTTTAAACTTTTTGTTGTAACGTTTATACTTTTTAAGTTATTAATAAAACAATAAAAGATTTCTCATTTTCTACTGAAAATTCCAACTTAAAACTCAATTCCTCAGTTATTTCTCTTGTTTGAATACGTAATAAATACCATAGCAGTATTTTATTCGACTGAGGCGAATGACTGTGGCGGCATACTAAATCTTGTAATATTGTCTTGTCTTTGGCTGCGCTGGCATTTCGTCGCCGCAAGGATTATAATAAGGATAATTCGCGTTAATTGGACGATACTAAACTAAGCTTGCCTTCGCTGCCGCCGCCAACTCCAAGAGTAATGATTTTGTGCAAAACACGAATAAGGATGAAACGCACCAGGATGCACAAGCCTTGCAATGCCGTCCTTACACTTAAATTTGCATATGTAACATGTCTCGCGGCATTGCTTTCAAGTCATTAATTCTCTTAAAAGAGAATTAAGGCGGAGATATTAAGTTAACTTACGAATAACTTACAAGTAAGTCGTGTAGTGTACACGTAGAAGATGTTAATATTTTTGTACTCACCGCGCACGGCTGTGTCCTGATGATGGTGGCAGTTGTTCACTTGACAGCCACGCAATTGTTCCAGCTGGGGGCAGTGCCGCCCCCCGTTCTGCTGCTGAACTACGACAGTGCGGCGGCGACGCATCGTACCGGATCCGCAGTCAGCGTCACAGGAGGACCAATCTGCCCAGGGGCTTACTTGACAGTCCACGACTGTAAGAAAAAGAGGAGAAATGTTAAAAAAAGTGATTTTGCGTTGTTTTTTGGGAATATCTCGTAAATGATAAGAGATAATAATAAGTTTCTTTCAGGAATTGATTAACAATTAAATTTTTTGTTTATAGGTGGAAAGTTTTTGTTAATACACTGTTTATGTAAATAGTTATTTGTTGTTAAACTTGGTTTTAGTAAAATATATAAGTATAAAGTTTAATTGTTAATAACTTTTGATAGAAAATAGCTATAAACAAAATTAAACGGTAAGTAGATGTAGAATTTAATGTAAAAACGAATAGTTTTTAAATATTTGCGATATCATTAATAGTTATAAAGTTATTAAGAAAATAGTAATTTATTGCACAATTTATTGTAAGTACATAAAGAATGACGTCTTAAAATGCAAATAATTATGTTTTTGTGTACTATTTTATCAATATCTACTAAACTATTAGAGATATCAACAATTTCCTTTCAAAATTTGATTTTGACTAAAATTCCCTATAAATTGGCATAATGATCTTCTTTTTATAAAATTTATCTGGGCAGTTATGATAAGACGAACTTGTTGATATTAAAGTATATGAAAGTAATGTTTAATTGTTAATAACTTTTGATAGAAAAAAGCGACAGACATAATTCGACCATAAATAATTGTAGAATTTAATGTAGAATAAAATAACCTTTAAATATTTACAATATCATATTTAGTTAATAAGTTATTAATAAAATAAACAAAAATAACACATTTTTCCTACATTCAGACCGCTATTCTTCACCTATTACATTTTCTGTCCCCAAATATTACTTTTTTGATTTAAAAATATAAATATCAAAATAACGTAATATTCTAATAAGGTAGAAAACTGTGAAAGTAATACTAAACATATACCTAGTAGAGAAAACATAAGGAAAGAGAAAGAGAGGCGAATGACTGTGATGTGGCTTTCGAAAATGGCGTTTTTTGCGATTTTGAGTCGCGTTGATGAAACGACTGCACCAGAGTGGAAATCCAACCTCACTCCATAAACATACGTCTTGTGGGATTTGCCCTGCGTCCTCGCCAGGACGAAAACCAAAAGAAACGGATGTAAGACACGAGACGCGAAATAAAGTGCCAGCCGGGGCTCAATCTCAGCTCTCAACTCAAAATTCGCTTTCTCACGACTGATTTTCGCTTCCATCACACTCACCTTTTATTTTTTCATTCCCCCAAAAAACAAAAATCACATTCAAGGTGAAAATATATATAAAAACAAAAAGTCATCCTGTTTTTCTGTCAAATTTGAAAATTGAAGTGAATTAATGTTCAAGTAGTGGCCGGCGTGGTGAAATTAGTGGTCGTTTTCAATTAGTCGCTTTCCGCGACCGTAGAGATGGCGGTGGTGGTGGCGGCGTGCGAGGGGCGGCAAATGGTTTGAGCATGATTATAGGTAACGGCGGTGGCTCGCGGCATAAGGGCGATTACGATTGAGGACGGTTAATTGGATCGCATCTGGCGGTGTGCGCGGCGGCCACAAACGCCGCCACAGATTGCCGCCCCACACAGCCACACACACACACATCGATAGCCGTACGTACTCGTTGGTACAAATGCGAGACGATAAAAATAGCAATCGCACAAGGTTTAATCGCGATAAATAAACACTAAACAGTAACGGATACACGTGTTTTCGAAAGTGAGGCGAATGACTGTGGCGATAAATATTGTTATCTACAAGAGTATCCATTAAATTTGAATTTTAAAGTGATATAAATTAAAAAGATTGATTTTCGGTGAGGTGAGTGACTGTGGAGTGGTATTTTACTAATGAGGCGAATGACTGTGGTAAGAAATTTTTGTTTTTCTTCAAGAATAATGTAAATATTTTAAAGTGTAGTTAAATAATAATATATTGTTTTTTGTGAGGCGAGTGACTGTGAAGCAGTATTCATTCCAATGAGGCGAATGACTGTGGCAATAAAAAAAATTTCTCGCCAATAAAAAAAACCTTTAAAGTTAATATAATAAACAATATTTTAATAATTTTTTGTGAGGCGAATGACTGCGTATGATTAATTTTTCTCCTTCTCTTTGAGGCGAATGACTGCGGTATTTTCTAAATTCATTCTTTTTTCTTTCCTCTCCTCTAATAATCTCAAAATGAAGAAAATCTAAATAAAACCCATCTCAACGCCAGAAAAAAAAACCGCCCCACCGAACGCCTGTCCGCTGGGAGCGGTTGAAAACACCTTTTCTCCACTTTATCCCGCTTCCCGCGCGCACCCCGCCCCCGAAAACCGATCGTTCGCTCGTTCGCTCGCTCCGGTCCGGTGTGAGTCCATTTATAACGCGTTCTCAAAAGGGAATTCACCGGCGCCACGCTAGCCGCCCCCGCACCACTCACACCTCCGCATACAGTGTGTTTTTCGCCATGACCAGCAATTTTACCGCGCGAAAATTTCATTATCAATTCCCCCAAGGGCTGTAAACTCTAAAAAACTAAATTTTTAAATTGAATTCGTATTTTTTTATTTTGGATGATATACAGGGTGTTTTTATGTAATTTTCTTGTTTTTTGTTGATTAATGCGTTTAATTAATTTAACACAGGTAAATACTTAATAACGTCGTCGTTATGTTGATGTCTGTTGTAATTAAGCCGCCCTAGTGCCGTCGAGACGTTTTACTTCCCCTTTTTATTTCCCCCCTCGCGCGCCGCGTCGGAGTTGGGTTTAAGTCGCGAATGAAAATTCGTTTTGTTGCCGGGATTTTCGCGCCGGGAGGAAGAGCAGGGAAGAATGCTTTCTTTGGACGCTTCATAATTCATCTTCGTTATTTAGCAAACACAATTAATCCGCTTAAAATGCTCGCCTGGTTGCCTGCCTTGCTTGCTTGCTTGCTTGGAAGAATAAATTTGGGTGCGAGATAAGTAGATGGAGATGTATAGTGGTTGAGGATCTTGTCAGAGTGTTAGTTTTATGTAGATTATTAAAAAACTAAGAGGGTTGTATTGTTTGTTTTTAGGGGATTATATTTTGTATTAAATTTTACGTCTAGTGGTGAAGAGATTTTGTTGATGGGGTTGTTATAAACAAAGTTACAGGGGATTTAAGTTTGAATTTTGGTGATTTTTGGTTGAAAAATGTTAGAAATTTGATTATAACTTTTGATATAATGAAGATAGAATTGCAATTTTTAGTATGTTGATGTAGAATTTAATTCTTAATAAAACAATAAAAAGATATTTGTTGTGATTTAATTAATTTCTGAATTATTGTACAATTAATAATTGCAAGTATAGAATTTTTTAAATTTTGTAAAAAAATTACATTTTTGCAGATTATTAAAAAACTAATAGGGTTGCACTGATGGTTTTTAGGGATTATATTCTGTATTAAACATTACGTCTAGTGGTGAAAAGATTTTGTTGATGAAATTGTTAGAAACAAAGTTACAAAGGATTTAGATTTGATTTTGTTTAAATTTTTGTAATTATTAGTTGAAAATTTGCTAGAAATTTGTTTATAACTTATTAAATAAAGACTCAACAAATGTAGTAAATAACGCAATGATAGATAATTCAATTATAAATATTTATGTAAAAGAATAATTATTCTACCATTATTTTTTATTGAGTTATTACCAAAAAACTAACAAAATACAAAAACTCAATTTTTATTATTTTTTCAAAAAAAAGTGGTATTTTAAATAAATAATCCAAAAAAACTATCCAACAATTACAACAAAAACACCTATCCACTCATTTTTATTATCTCTAGTATTTTTCCTCACAAACACAAAAAAAAAACTAACAAAAAAGAAAAGATTTCTCATGTTGAATGTCGAATGAATAAAAAAAAACGCAACAAAAACAGAACTAAAGTGAAGGACGAAGGAAAATGTCGAACGGAAGATTCATGCATTGTTGATAGCGTCAGCCTGAAAGGTGCGAACAATACACAATGCCCCACAGGATAATAATATACCGTGTGTTTTGCAAAAAAAGTATAAAAACATAAAAATATCGCGCATGTTTACATTTTTAGCCAAAAATTGTCTTATTTTCATGCTCATCATTGATCCTTTCCGGTTTATGAAAAGATTTATAGCCAAACACGCTCCCAGGCAGTAAATCTTCACAAGGGCTTAAAAGCCCACCCTTTAAATCGTCACAAGCACTGAAAAACAGTGTTAAGAATTGGAGTTTTGTTGAAAGATGAAAAGAATATTTATTTATAACTTTTTAAATAATAAAGATAATTATTCCATGCTTGGTACGCAGATGTGGAATTTAATTCTTAAGAGAATAGTAGAACGATAATTTATTTAGCTTGAATATTTATTGACTTATTAATAAATAACTACGCAAAATAGAATGATGTTTCTAAATCAAAATTTTGTCAAAGTGTTGGTTTTCTTACGATAAACAATAAACTAATTAAGTATTAATAATAAATTTTTCCAATTATATTCTATATTAAATTTGCCATCGGCTAATGAAAAGCATTTGTTGATACATTAAATAGAAAGGAAATTATTAAATATTTAATTTAAATTTTGTTAAAATTTAGTTCAATTTTTATTGAAAAGTCACTTATTTATTGCTTATAATAAAATCTCTACCATGTAATATTTTACTTTTACGATTGAAACAGAGGAATTAAATTATACATACAACTATAAAAAAATAAATATTCCATCATCGTTATTTATCGAGTTATCGTCAATAAACAAACGTCATAAACACAACAAAATAGTATATGAGGCGAATGACTACGGCTTATTTTAAAGCATAACTATAAAACCTGCACAAAAATTCCTACAATACATTTGTGTGATAATTTAACAACTATTTTTTCATATTTTACCGGGGGCGACATGGGGCAGTTATCGCTTCGGTCAGCGATTTTCCACCACCTTCGACGCAAGTTCGAGTCTCGCTCAAGCATGACTTAGCGCTTGACGGCGGCGGAAAATTTACGACGTCGCAAATCATTCGATTTCCGTCTGGTGGC